ATTCCAACCTTCTGTCCAGGAGGAATACCAAAACGTCCTCCATTCTGAACATTACTAGGAAGCATGAATTTATATGCATGTTTTTAGTTTTTGGATGTGTAGGTGTGTGTGATATCCCCCATTTTTGCTAGCAGGTTCTCCATTTGAGTTGAAGATTTGACTGGGAAAAGAAACCCACTTTTTTCTCTCTCTCTCTCTCTCTCTCTTTCTCCCTCCCTCCCTCCCTCCCTCCCTCCCTCAGTGGTTCCTCAGTGGCCCAAAACCCTTGCCATTGGGCTCCCAGTAACTTCATGCGATGCCAGCCTTAAATGCGAGCACAAGGGCTCTGGTGCTAAACGCACTCATATATAAATGTCAATTTATGCTTCTTAGTCCTGCTTCAAATGGTGGACCTTTTGTAATTCCTCCTGGATAGAAGGTGCAAATGGAGGACGTGCCCTGGAAAAGAAGGACGAGCTGTGATCACCCTGACCTGGAGTCATTTCCCCAGTCTTTCTATTTAAATGTTGGTTGTGAGAGGGGGAAAACACTGACAGGTGTGTGGAAGGGATGGATCCCCAAACTTTTTAACTTGGATCTAACCCCGTAAGCAGGGTGATCTGATGCCCTCACCCCCAAGGAGGGCAAGGCTCCACCTTCTCTGGATATGCCTCACTCTTCCTCTTGTTGAGAGCGGCTGGGGGGTGGCAGCAGCAGCAAAGGCAGAGGAGGAAGAGGAGGACTGAGGTCTCCTGCTGCTGCTCCTGTTGCTGCTGGACCTGCTCTTGCTGCCTGCCCAGGAGGAGGAGAGGAGCAGCCTTGCCCCCTCAGAGGCACCCATGAGCACCGTGGAGACCTCTTCCTCCCCAGCGATGATGCAGTTTGATTGACAGCTGTGCAAATCAAGTGGGAACAACAGTTGTGTCAAAAAAGACACAAATTCATGGAATAATGAAATAATACACTTCCATAGTGGAAACTGTGCATTGGCCTGAATCAATTCAGAGACCCGGTGTCAGTGCGACTTGCAAAGCGATTTAAATGCAAGTGGGAATGAGTCCCAAGTCTATTAGAGTCTTCTGCTGTATGCTGAAAAGTCCACGTGCTAAGGATTATGAAAAATATTAGAAAAAAGACTTAATTTTTTAAAATGCTGATAGAAATTGGTTATGATCCTCCTCCCAACTTTGTTGATAATTAAAGATGCACTGTATAACATTTGTATTCTCCAGAAGAGTTTTTGTGATTATTAATCTAACATATTTAGTATCTAACATATAGTTTATATAGGGATGTTCTGGTGTGTGTTTAATGAACTTTTGTCTGTTTTCTGCATTAATTATCAGCATGCAAATGAAAAAAAGCTATTGTTTTATTTATGCAAGGGCTTATTATTGCCTTATTTTTGCATACCATATCTGTCAGTTTGTTTATTATACAGTTTAGAAAACAAAATAAGCCAATTTTTCATACTGGATCTCATTTAATACCCCCCTTCTGGCAGGCAAATAAAAGTTAATTTAATAATATTAACATTGATAAACCATGAAGAAGACTGTTTTCCTCTATCCTTTATTTGCTTTTTGCTTTAAAAAAACCAAACTTGTAATTTCTGTGTTCTGTGAGATCACTGCTTCTTTATCCTTATAACTCAACAAAACAAAGAGACAATGAGACAGTTTTTATTTGTTGAGGAGTAAAATCATGGGCTAATTTCTTTGGACATATCAGCTACATTAGAAGGATTTATATCAATAAATCTGTTGTCCTTGTTATGGCCAGGGAAGTTACCTGATCTTTTGTCTAGAAACAGATTTAAAAGTTATAACAAATATTTCTGGACACAGCAATTGATTTTGATGTTGAGAAAGGTGATGCAATGAGTTTGTTTTTCTAGCAGCCCACCTACTCTGTTGTAACATCAACATAAGGTTCTAGATATTCCCAATTGTCAAAATCAAACTACATGGGATGTAGTGATATTACCAGTTATTCCAACACCTAAAACTTTTTCTCTGAATTCAAGACTGGGACTTAAAACCTTGAGGGAGTGTCTTTCCCTGTAAGATCTGTCCATGGGGTCCACCTCTGTTTCCTGCTATTGGGAGAAAAATGCTTTGAAGAGACTTTGAGAAGGGGTTCTGGGGAGGGGGGAAGAAGAGTTCACTAATATATATATATAAAATAAAATGAGGTCACAAATACCAGGTAAATTAGTTTCATATAGTTCCATTTGTCAGTTATAGGAAATGTAAATCTTTTGAAAACAGCACACTGTGCTTTTATTGTTATTAATACCTGTCTGAATGGAAGCCTGGTTAATTTACTTGGCTTTAACCTGAATGAACCTTCCAATGTATCAGTGGGAAAGGAAAGAAAATTGCAGTCTTGAAATAACTAAATGTCATTAACATCAAGAAACTCAGCTTTTATTACTGTGTAAGGTTTAGTGGTTTGAGCATTGGACTATGACTCTGGAGACCTGGGTTCGATTCCCCACCTGGCCACAAAAGAAGTGGATTTAAATGAGTGGTTTGGTTGGGAGAGAAGTCTTTAACATCGGATTGGAAAGGAAATGGATTTAAATGAGGGGTTTGGTGGGGAAAAAAGCCTTTAACATCAGATTGGAAAGAGAATCACCTCTTCACACACACACATACGCACTCCTATCTGGCAGCTCTTTTAAAAATCAATGCTGAGGCACATCGGGTAGTGCTTCTTTTAGGACCTTTCTAAGCTGTAGTATTGTATTGACCTGTATATAAATTAGCCCAGAACTTTAGACTCAGTTTTTGGGCATAAATTTCTCTACTTATAGTCGAGTATATATGGAGCATTGGAAGTAGATTTAGGTGTTTTGTCTTCTGGTCTCCTTTTTTTTCTGTCCTCATAAATATCCTGGGCAGAAGATACCATGATTCTCTGAAGATGCTAGCCACAGATGCTGGCGAAACGTTAGAAAGAAACTCTTCTAGAACATGGCCACACAGCCCGAAAAACCCCACAAAAAAACTATGGATGCCGGCCATGAAAGCCTACGACTTCACGATACCATGATTATTTGAACATGGCTTGGCAGAAAGTTTAAGTTCCAGAATTACAGGAGATAATGTATTCAGTAACTTCTCACAGTGATAAAATAAGTAGATCTTTGTGATGGATTGTTGCTATTTGACTAGTTGCTCAGTCGCTGCTCCCTTTGCACCCTGTCATCCTGGGAGCAGCAACAGAGGAGCGGGCTGAGCAGTGACCGAGAAATCGCTTACCCGTGCCAGCTTTGCAGCAAAGGCCAATATGGATAAGAGGCCTCTTGGTTGCTGCTCAGGCAGCTGCTCAGTTGCTGCTGCTTGGGTGACCAGGTGCAAGGGAGAAGCTTCTCCCCAGAGAGGAGGGACTCTCAATCCTTCATGGGGGCAGAGAAAGGTGCAACTGGTGTGTGTGTAGGGGGTTTACAGAGGCAACATGTTCTGGACTGTAGACTGGTGAGAGCTGGAAGACAAAGGACTCTTTCCAAGAATCAAGCACAGATACTCCTTCCCCAGAAACATGTCTTCCCCACACAGTTTCAAGTGTCCACTCACCTACAAAAAATTGTTTCTTCTGCTACCTCTTCTCTCAGCCTGTCTGATGAAAGAAAGCAGGAGCAGCAGAGCAGCTCCAACTTGCCAGCCAAGTTCTAGCAAATCTCCCAAAGCTTAAGCAAGGTACCAAATTTGAAAGCTCCTTTTTGCCACCACTTCTCCCTCTCCACCATGTGCTTTAACTCTTTGCTCCCATCTGTCCCTAAATGGTGTCACCCTGAACCACAGAAGTGATGCCCTGTGCCCAAGCCTTGCACAAGTAAGGGAGTGAACTCACACGGGCAGGCAAAGGGTGGGAGACACCACCGTACAAAATCAGCAAGGCTGTGTGGTGGTTTTCTGGGGACCCTGAAAAGAAGTTTAATGTAATCCCCACCATGGTCCTAAAGACCGCATGTTCCCCTTGTCTTTCCTGCACACTAATACTGAAAGCCCCCCTCCCACCCCCTTTTTCGCTCACCACCCCCCTACTGCCCCCTTTCTACTCCTGGATCCTTCCACTGCCCCCAAAGGGAGGGCTGTTGCCCACTTTGGGAATCACTGTTGTATCTTTTTTTCTGTTTGAAAGCTTGAATTTAAATCCATATTTAAAAATAATTTTCTCTTAAAATAATTTTTTGAGCTGAGAATTGTCGAAACATCCAGGCAGTGCAAAAAAGATGGATAATTAAGTTTAGATCCATGTGTTAGTCTAGAAGCTTCCTAGTTCTTTAAGCATCACCAGTGTAGAGTGCTTTTCTTGTACTACAGAGTAACTACAATCAGCAATAGACATCGAAGTCTAAAAAGAAGTACATCTACCCTGCAATTACAAGTTTGCATTGGTTAAAGATTTCCCTGCTAATTTTTAACTACCATTTTATCTTACTAGATCTCTTCTGATGAAGCTTCTGGGTGTGAACCAAAATCCTCTATGAAGTCTCTTGGGAACAAATCAGAAGCTAAATTTCCTGCCATTGATAAAACATCTGTTAAGCAGAAGCAAAAAGCAAGCACATGTTCCAAAAAATCAGAAAAAAATGGATCTTGCTCCAAAAAAGATACTCTGGGTAAATACAGAGCGTTTTAAACTCTTTAGTGAAAAAAGCAATGTTGTACAGATTGGAGTCAGTAACCTTTGCAAGTTCAAGAGCCATAGAGGGATTATTGATATTTTCAGGGAAAAGTTCCTAGGTGAGAAAGTAGAACTAGAGTTCCAACAGAAGATAGCCAAATGCAGTTGATTTACCAAGAGGGTTGGGAGTCATTCTCTTAGTCCAGAACTAGGCTGAATTAGCTGTAAGAAAAAACAAAAACCAGGGCAGAGGAAAAGGCTTTGCTGGAAATCATTGTTTGCTATGCAGTATACAGTGGAGTCTGGAAGCCATTTGTGTTGTGCTGACAGATTGTGCAGTTAGGATGAGTATTACCTGTATATAAGGGACAGTCGCAGGTAGTTTGGAGGAGGCAGTCATTAAGATAGTATTTCTCTTAACTTTTGGCTGCTTGGTATTTACCCTATCCTAATTACCTTAGAATATAACTTTTGATAAGATGTCCCAGCAGATGCTTGCTAATCAACTTCAAGATGTTTTTAATTCAGTTTTATGTCAGGATTTAGTAGTGAGATAGCTTTGTCCTGATTAATGGTCTGTGCCAGGAGCAAGATGCCAGGAGGAATGGATTATCTAACTCCATTAGTTTGCTTGGATCCCTCATCAGGTTTTGATAAAATCTAACAAGGTATCCTTTTAGATTGGAACATTATGATTCAGTGCTTCCATTCTGATATAGACGGATACTCATTCCAGAAGATAATATTGGTAAACTATAGCTTTGTCCCATAGCTGTTATACTATGGTGCTGGCAGGGCTCTCTGTAGTTTGATACATAGATGAAATCAGTAAGTGGTTTAGGGATTTCGGGCAATGTGTCAGCAGATAACTCTCAGCTCATCAAATGCAGGTGAAACTGCAGAAATGTTGAATTGTTATTATCTTTGTAACAGACTGGATGAAAGCCAGCAAACTGAAACTCAGTTCCAGTACAATAGAGGTACTCTTGGTGTTTGATTTGTCTAACCTTCGGAGAAGGTGGTCAGTCTGTTGTAAGTGGAACTGACTCATTCTGAAGTAACTGAGAACTTTTCTATGCCTCAGTAACATCATGCTTGAGCTACAACAGTTTATTACTTGTATACGTACTTTTTAAGATCAATCATGTGCCACTTTGAGGAGAGGCTTCCAAAGTTGAGACACGCCCAGAAAAGGGCCTTTCTGTCTCCTCTCTGAACACATACTGGCTGTAATCTTCTGTGGCTCAATGTAGTAGAGTACTTTTGTGTCATATACATTAGGCTGAGTCATATGCCACCTCCCCTGGATTTAGCATACAGCCTCTGAAGAGCCCACATGCCTATTCGGTGCCTCATGGCAGACATGACTGGAGAAGCATCTGACTCTGTCCCTGTAGCCAGAGGCAAAATATTACATCAGACTGCTATAATCATTTTGTGTCATCATGAGCTACTCCCCATGAGGCATGGCATGACCATGCAAGGGAGCTTCAGAGGCTGTATGGTAAGCTGGGATGGGGCTCTGGAGGAATTTTTGAGGAGGGAATGCCCAAAAAAGGACATACACATACATAAGGGAAACCTATGCATGTGTATGCCACTAACAGAATCCCAGCCCATTTCTGCTGAGGAGGTACTAGGAGAAGAGCCTCTATCCTATCTGCTACATGCAACTCCCTTCTTGGTAAAACAAAAACAAAGATCTCACATGGAAGCAGGCAGCAGAGAGCACCAGTGAAGGGATTTTTCATTGATCCTTTCCTATTTTGCTAGACTGAGCCCTGGGATTTTCTGGCGGATATGTTTCTCTACTAATACTGTGCCTTAAATTCTAGTATCATGATTCTTCAGTGGGAATGCTCCCTCAGAGCATTATTCACATCTGAATTATATGAAACCAGCTAGGATTCTCTGTCACTTTCTACTCTGCTCCAAACTACCTGCTCCCAAAACTAGTTCCTCCCTCTATGATCGGATACTGAGGGTATGTGGCTTTGGATTCAGAGATGGGAAAATAAGAGAAAACATCACTTTCCTGACCATGCTTTTCAAATATACCAAAAGCTGAAAAGTGTTATGTACTACAGTGTTGGATAGACATTTCTTTTTTATTGTTTTTGAAAACATTTTACAGATACAAACATAACCAACAAACAATACATCTCAGATCCAGTACAATGATGTGTATTGAGTTTGTGTTTTTTGACTATCCAATATGAAATCTCCAGCTGACATGGCAACAATTATAATAGAGGCTTTTAAAAAAATCAACATATGAGCCAGGGGGAGAGAGAAGACTGGTATTTTCATTTACATGATTACAAATGTGTGCCAAGTCTCATAGAATTTAGAGTGGTCTTGGTTATCTCTAGTAGCGTTTTCAGTTAATTTCTACATTAGCATAATGTTCTAGACTCTTATCTAACTATAAAGAAAGTGCCAGTGCATTTAAGCCTTTCCAATTACATGCAATCCCTAAATGTGCTGCCAAACAATCAATACTTTATGAGAGAGACTCATTTGCTTTATAAAAAAAGGCAGTAGTCCCAGCTCTGGTGATAAAGAAATTGTTTGTGAAACAAATTTACAGATCTCTGCAAATACCAACTTCTAGACAGATATTTCTAATTAATTTTGGAAAATCCCGAAAATAAAAAGCGGTGCTATTTTGCCACTTTATTCACAGGATAATGTCCTGATAATTTGAAAACCATCCCACTCTTGATGGGATTAAATGCGCTTTATTCATGGGATTGCCTCCCGTGTGATGAAGTTAGGTTTTATTTTCTTTATGTAAGGTGTTTTGTGAATCTTCCCAGCAAAAAAGTGGGACATTCTGATGATTATGATTATTTTATTTATATCCCGCCTT